ATCAGTCCCATTACAGTTACTTCCTCTGTGTTCCACTGGCATCCAACCATATTAAAAACAATACATCTAGTTCACCACAATGGCAGAAGTACTGACAAATATACCAGTGCTCCCTGAATGTGCACTTACACAAAATATAATATCAATGAAAAAGGTGATTTGTTAACAGGTGCACTTTCATGACTTCTGCAATTTTATAGTGTACTTTGTAGTTATGTCAAATTAAAGATTTTACTTTACACTGTAAAAAAATATTGATGGTTTAACTTAAAAAAGTAAGTAACCTGGTTGCCTTCAAATTTTAAGTTCATTGAACTGGAAAAAGTGAGTTAATACAATGAAGGAGAATGATTTAACCATCAGAAACTCAAAATGATATGTTATCTGAACTAAACAAATTATTTAAGTTGATTTGACAAAAGAAAAAATGTTGTGATTACTATAGTATAACAAATGAATTTTGTTATACTATATAACAAAATACATTTCAGACTTAATTGCGATTGAATAGAAATGCATTAGTTTAAATTTATAACAAATGAATTTAGCCGAAAAGTTACTCAATTAAATTTAAGAATCCTATATATCTTTATTTTTATAAAAAAAAAATTTTATGGTATAAAATATACTTCTATTGAAACGTGTATTTTATATATTTAAAAAAAATTTTTTTTTGCATATTTTAATGATGAACTAATCAAAGGATTAGTTCATCCTAAACAAAGGATTATTGAAACAATGATTAAAATGTACTATTTTAATCATTGTTTCAATAATCCTTTGCTTTACAGAAGTGCACTTTTTTTGATGCGTTGACTAACTAAAGCACATGTAAAGTAGCCTAATTGAGGAGGCTAATTTTAGTGTGTTTTTCAATATTAGATTTAGTTCATCATTCAAATATGCAACATTTAAAAATATATATATAAAATACACGTTTCAATAGAACTATATTTTAGTTTACCAAAAAAAAGTATTTATAAAATAAAGATATAATTGAGTCACTTTTCAGCTAAATTCATTTGTTATAAAATTTAAACCAATGCATTTTTATTCAGTCGCAATTAAGTCTGAAATGTATTCTTTTAACATATATTATTTTCATAATAAGAATTATGCAAAAGTATTACTTCTTTTTCAAGGTCTGTTATTATCAACAATTTTAATTCTTCTGAGAGCTTCCTATGAAGTACAATTGAAGCGTGACGTGCTGCCAATGCAAATGCATAGAGCGCTGCAATACAAATTCATCATTGTTGACTGCAGAGCCAGAGACGGGTTTATGGTGCTGATGATGCAAAGAAAATGATCCTCTTCACCCAACCTGTTCAGCAGCTTCCCACAGGACTCGATTGAAGACGCACTGGCCGGCATGTGTGGAGAAAGCGGTGCTGTCCCTTTAAGGGCCACTGGAATGCTAGTGTACCCCCCTAAAGAAAACCTCTGAGCCCTGATTGCACACCTGTGCAGTAGCTGGAGATGCGATCGCTGTCCGGGGCCTCCTTCTACTGCATTCCTCCGCTGCATGCTGGGGCTTTACCTGGTGTGTGCGCGCCAGTAGTCGGGCAGGTCCTAACAGGCATCCTATTCCCATCTCAGAAATCCATGGCATGCAGAATACCTCCCTCTTTTTCTCATAGCCTGTCTGTGTTTTCAGGAATGCATGCGATGGATAGAACAAAATCGTGACACCCCGCACACGCACACTTCATGCCTGTGCCTGTCCGCCACTTGTCAGGTTACTAGCCTACTTCAGCTGTCAAACTAGCCCGTTTTTAAATTTTAGGTTCAAAACTAATTAATACAATTAATTCATTCAATAGTGGGCTTTGACTTTTGTTATGGGTTACAAAAGTTTGTTTAACTAGTCTTAAAGTAGCCCTGGCTGCATAGTTTTTGCTTGTGTGTACATAGTGTGTAATCCACTCCTTTTGTTGCTTTCTGTAAATCCTGTCCTTTTACTGCGGGCAGTCCGAACATGGTGAGACAGGCTTGTTGGCAATGTTGCGGTTTTTCTGCATTAGCTATAAGCCTTCAGGGAAAGCCTGAAGAATACCGTTTTGAGACCCCACCTGTATTTATTTAGCAACTTCATTAGCACACAGTGGTGAAAACACCAGGTGCTCCCGACGTGAGATTAGATGGGTTACAATTATCAAAGATCAAAAAGATGGTCTACTATTATGCTTGATCTGATATTTTGATGTTGCTGACAACGATTTTATTAGTGGTGTTTGCCAAGCATCAGTTTTAAGGTTAGTGATTTAAACCGCTAAATATAAAACTTTGGCAACTCATCTTGCAACACCGTTTGGGCTATGGACATGAGTAATACCACAAATGATGCTTAAAGGAGTAGTTCACTTTAAAAAAAAAAAAAAAAAAAAACTTTTGCTGATAATTTACTCACCCCGATGTCATGATAACCTTCATGATTTCTTCAGTCGAAAAGAAATTAAGGTTTTTGATCAAAACATTCCAGGATTTTTCTCCATATAATGGATATCAATGGGGTCCAAAACGGTTCAAGGTCCAAAAGACAGTTTCAGTGCAAACTTTTCAAAGGGCTTTAAACGACACCAGACGATGAATAAGGGTCTTATCGAGCGAAATTAAGAAATCTTTTCCAGAGTCAACTCATTCATTTCGTTTGTTGAATGAATCAAATGATTGATTCATTTTGATAAACGAGCTCGAACAGGAGAGTCACGAACGCGCGTCACAGAACGACCATTTGAGCTTCTAAAACTTAAACTTGTCTTTATTTAGTTTTAAAATAACCGCTCGTTTCCCTTGATAAGGCCCTTATTCATCGTCTGATGTCATTTAAAGCCCTTTGAACAGTTTGCAGTTTGCACTGAAACTGTCTTTTGGACATTGAACCGTTTGGTTCCCATTGAAGTCCATTATATGGAGAAAAATCCTGGAATGTTTTCATTAAAAACCTTAATTTCTTTTTGACTGAAGAAAGAAAGGCATGGACATCTTGGATGAAATGGGGGTGAGTAAATCATCAGCAAAAACGAACTACTACTTTAAGAGTAGCATTTAGCATAAGAAAGCCCTGGCAACTTTTGCATGGGCATAGACTGCTCAATTTATCTTTAAGAATGGGAAAATTTGGTTTATATACCAAAATGTATATTATTAAATACTAACACTTTATGTTAGTCTTCTTGTTACATATTTTGCATACTTGTACTATAGTAATAACAGTAAATTAAAATTAAAAAATATATCAACGCTTATAAAAAAAACTAAAACGAACAAAAATGGCAAAATAACACAATTGACTAAAACCTATAAGCATAAAATCACTAGGTAATTCAAAATAATTCCATTAATCGTATAAAGTAACTACTGTAAATGTACTTTTACAGAGTTCAGTCTAATAACAGGTCAAGAATATCATCACATCTCTTTGAAAGAATCGTGCATTTAAATGACAAAGGAGTCAAAACTTTGCCTCATTGTTCTGGTACTATTAGGAGTCTCAGTGGTCTTTTGTGAGCATCCAGAGAGCATGAGGTCAGGCCAGGGGTCTTAAGGAGAAGGCAGACCGAGGAGATGTTATCCAGTACCCTTGCCTGACCTAAAGCAGGAACCCATTGTCTCTGGCCCAGGCTTTTTATTGCTTCTCTTGAATGACTGAGCTATGCTCAAAACAAAGGCCTGTGTTTGCTTGCCCAAGGTGTCAGTCCTCAAACTCCCTCACAATGGATGCCCAGACTCCAATGACCTAAGGTTTACCAAAGCTGCCGCAAATTGGTTTGTTTAGAAGGGGTAATGGCAAACATTACATTCTATCACAATAGGTTCATTAAGAAGACAATAACATTGGGTAAACAACTTAGTAAGCTCTCCAGTGGTAGAAATTTTGAGTAGGTTATATTCTGCATTTCAATTAAGTAAATAATTTTTAAAAATTCAAAGATTCACATGTGTAACCATCTCAAGTTTCTAAAATATTCTGGGCTCTAGCTCAATTTTGGTGTTTTCATCCACCAGGTTAAATAAACCCAATTGTTTTGAAAAGTAAAATCACTACTTTCTTCAACAATCTGCATAATTTTATATATTATTCATGTCCTAATAACAGTGTAAATAACAGTGTAATAAATAAGCATTAGTGAAATTTAACTTAGAAAACAGGACTCATAATATTTGAGTAATATAATTCGTCACATCATTTTTGGTATCAGCTAACTTCCTTGTAATAGGGTTGGTATTGTTGTGTTTTTATATGTTGTTTGAGTAGTGTCTTATTTCCCATGTTTTGTCATCGAGTGATGTCACTATGTAGCTTGCATGTTCACTCCTGACACTTGGAATAAAACAAGATTTTCCAGCGCCTGAATGTGTGGGAAATGGCACTTGAATTTTTCTCACACAAAATTGCACTTACCTCTTTAAGGACCTACTATGACGGACTACTATTTGTCTTCAGGGCGTGTCGGGTCTTGATGATTTGAATTCTTAAGATTCAAAATAGGATGTGTGTTATTTATTGCGGAACAAGTAGCCTGCACTGTGTTTCTAATATTAACATGGTTAAATTAATTTTATGATGCAATTGTGAATTTTAAATCTTCTGAATAGTCCATCTTTATTGCACCTGCTAAACTAATCCAGCATTTTGTGGATAAGAAAGAAACACTGTGGACATCATTGAGACACATTTAATATTTAGAATAGTTGTCAATCATAGGATTTTCTTCCACCATACTTTTACATTTGGTCAGTCTTAAATATTTGGTTATTGTACCAAACATTCAGGAAGGAAACGGATAAATAGCCTAACAGACAACTTGTTTCCCGAAATCACACAAAGGCTTTCTCCATCCTGCCCTACACAAACCTGTGTTAGAAGTGAGGTGGGCCTTCTAACCTGTCTTCTGACGCGTCAGCCAATCAGCGAGCGTCCTGTCCTCACCTCGACCAATCAGAGCGCTGACCAGCCCCTACTCGAACCCAAATACTTTACACAGGGGGAAAAAAACCATCAAAGTTTACCTATAGGCTAGGTCTATAAGCAAACAATTCGAGCAGTAAACGTGGATTTAACATGATATAAAGATTTTAAATATATTTTTGAAACTCAAAACTAGGCTACACGTTAAAATCTCTGAGAAAGGACGGGACAGGGTGCTCAGGTGCTTCGTACCTGCTCCTTCAGCCCTTGAGAAATAGGCTAATCAGAGAGAGGGAAAAGTCGATTTACCTGTAGCCCGGGTTCTGGCATCTCTCACTCACGCTCTGTCTTCTGTTACCTGCACCGACTTGAAAGTCCAGTTTCACAAGGAAGAACCGCGGAGGAAGAGAAATATGTCACAGGAGACAGACAGGTAAGAGTCATGACTGCGACACAATCTTCCATTACCTCAACACAAGTATCGGAACGTCAACGAGTGCCATTCTGCATGTTTAGGCTACTTTACTTTCGTAAAAGTTAAACATTCTAAACTCTTAACTGTACTTTATAATCGCTTTAGATATATTAACGATGCATTCAATTAAACAGCCTTTTTAGATAAAAACCAACGCAGTGGGAAAGGTTTCTTTATTCTTTCTTTTTTTTTTTTTTTTTTTTTGCGGTCAAAACGCCATTTTTTCACGGAGGAAACACCTTGAATATAAGTTAGCCTACCTCATTCTCATTTATTTACTATTTAAAAACGAATATTTATTCGCTATATAGGCCTATTTGTTTTTAACGAAAATAAAGTTTTTTTTAGCATGTTTTATTTCGTTTCTTTCGCTCATTGGGGATCATGCTATTGTAGAAGTGTTTATCACAACATTTGTTTTAATTCAAGATTTTTTGGTTAATGTGAAGTTTGAAAAGATTGTGTTAAGTCGGTTGTTTTGATTATTTTGATCTACAGAGTTCATATGATATGAATCATATCTTGGCTAATCCACAATAACAACCCGTCTATGTAGTTTGTGTGTGGTGATTAATACATTTTTTATTCAAGAGACTAAGTTACGTGAATGGACTTCTGGTTTCCCTTTAGGATTGTTGGTTACGTGTCTTACATTTCTCAGAGTAGCTAATTCATCTCTAGGTGTGTCAAATAATTAAAAAGAAAACGTATTTTTTTTGCTAATCCACTTTTACTGGGGGAATACATCTAAAGTGGGAAACTTTGTGATATTTTGTGCATAAAAATATGTTTCAGATGGTTTAGTTCCTCACACAACACAGATAAAAGTAAATAAATAGGTAAATACCGAAACGTGTAATTCCCTTATCATCAAAATGTCTCACAAATATTTTTTATAGGCCTATATAACCTCACATGGTCATAACTTGATTTGCATGAACATACTTTCCATTTAAACATACCTAAATTGAACATACATTTAATTTAGCCTACACTGTGGTCCAAATAATCCTCTGAAGTTGTCAAAACTTAGGACCTATTTTGTCAGTCCATATGCTGATTTTTTTTGTTTTTGCAAAAAACATGTAATGATAAAGGTGAATTAGATTATGTGTTCCACTTTACCCCATGCATTTTCCAGTGAAAGACCCCACAGGAGTACGCTAGGTCACTGCTCATGTGTGAGTTTAATAATATGTGTTGCGAAAACATGTCACTACTGCAGACTGCAATATTTTTAGTACATTTTTTACTAAACTAAAGTGAACCCAACCGAGAAAAATTGGGTTGGCTTGGAAAAAATATCTATAACTTAGAATTGATGCATTAAGCAGGGTAAGAAGATGTAGTAAGATGCTCCTCTTGAAAGCAGTGTGAATTAGCTGTTAAATTGTAAAATATTTAATGATGAGTTTAGCAGAGGATGATGATGCATAAATATGTGTATATATAAAAAATTAGGGGACTATTTATAATAATGTTTTTAAATATAGTTACAGCACAACATTTAAAGTCAGGATTTTCTCACGCTGAGGGTAAGTGGGGTACAAGGAGCTCACTTTTATTTTCAGAATAAAAACATTTAATATTTGTTAACATATGAATTTTAACACATTTCCACAAAATATCCCAATTAAAAATAAATAAATTGACAAATGCCTAAACACAAAATAAATTCACAGATACTATTATCTAAATGAACCATTTAACCTCAAAATAGTTCATATGGAATAAATCTCACAAATGATGTTCAGATGAAATGTCAAGATTTTAAGTTTTTTGTTGCCTCAATTTTAAAGTAATTGTATATTTTATTGTATCTTTAGGCTAGGCTAAAGTATCCAAAACTCTTTGGGGCCTTACTGAATATCTTGTTCATACTGAAGAATGAAAGCATCCAGATTTTCATATAATATAATATCAATTTCCATATAATATAATATCCATATAATATAATAGATTTCCATATAATATAATATCAAGTTGGGACATCAAATATGGAGACTCACACATCAAAATACTCTAAAACAAGCAGTTGTACTTCCTCATGCCACGTGTCATACATTTCAGCTCCACTTGTCTGTCAGGCAGTAAAATGCAGAAGGACATTTGAAGTTTCTGTGGTCAGTATTTGTTTGGTTAGATGTTCTCTGTCATCAACACACATCACACTCTCACAAAAGATGCAGTGTGCAGGGTTGTTTTCATCAGTATGCAAAATAGAGCTTTTACATGAAGCGTTATCAGTTGGATCATTTATCTTTGTGTTTGTTCTGTTTTATGTCTGTGCGTGTCCCAGTAAGAGGCTGGTTGTAGTGGTGCCCAATGAGACGTCCTTCCACCAGCGTCGGGCCTACACCAGTGAGGATGAGGCCTGGAGGTCTTATCTGGAGAATCCGCTTACTGCGGCCACAAAGGCCATGATGAGCATAAATGGAGATGAAGACAGTGCTGCCGCCCTGGGGCTCCTCTATGACTACTACAAGGTCAGTGTCATCAGATAAGACTCTTACTTTCATCATAATAATAATGCTTTTATATTCCACATGATCATTTATTCACCTTCATGGTGTTCGAATGCTCACTCTGCTCTTTTCATACAATGGAAGTGAATAGTAACTGGGCCTATGTTTAATTCACAATTACCAGGTTCATACATTTATGATCATTAAATCCAAAACCTTCTCTGGTTAAGACTATAACCCCTGTTCTCATTCTCTGCGTGATAGCGTCTGAAGCATGTGTGAAACTAGACGAATACGGATTGGTGCTACATCTTGAATTACTGTGCCATGCTGACTAATATATGCCTACCCTGGTGTGAAGACTGTACAATCTAATGAAAGTGAGTTGAGGAGGCTCAGCTTGCCACATCACAGAGTTCCTGAAGGGAAACCCCCGAAAACAGGGATTTAGAAGAACAGGGATGGGCAATTTCGGTCCTGGGGGGCTATGTCCACTCCACGCTAATACGTTTACGTAATACGCCTTCCGTCCACACTGAGATGGCGATTTAAGTCAATGGAGGCAATACAGTCAATACAGGAGAGCAGTTGCGTTTTAGACCAAACATATGGTGAGTGCGACCTGAACGCATCAGTGATGGTGAGATATTTCGCTAAATAAAATCACTTTATTATTTATTTTTCCATTTTCTGTATCATCTCGGTGAGCGTTTGTGAGTTTTCACGCATGCGAAGTAAACTGAATTCAGAATATTCTCATCCACACTGAAACGCCTGAAAACGCTAGTGTGGACGGAGAGCGTTTTTAAACGAAAATGTATCCGGATTAATGTGGACGTAGCCAGAGTTTAGCTTCAACCCTAATCAAACACACCTGAACAAGTTAATCAAGGTCTACTAGAAGGGGATTTTTTCAGGGTTGGAGCTAAACTCTGCAGGACAGTGGCCCTCCTGGACCAAACAAGCGGTCCTTGCCTCACCAAGCAATTTGTAATAGACAGCTTTGAGGATGGGGATCCGTTCCTAGGCAACCCAAAACATAGTAACTGGTCCAACGTCCTCCAATGAGAGCTATGCAAGTGAAGCTTATATTACAGTAGTCCACTAACACAGGTGGAGGATGGAAATCCTGCAAGACTATAGACCATTTCACAAGATGTAAACAACACTGGTCCAGAAACACTTCCTGTTTCAGTTTGTAACTCTTTTCTTTATTTCACATGCAAAGAAAACATCTTAAAGATGTTTGTTTAACTTTTTGATTCAGTTTTAAATGTTCTGTTGGTTGTATTTTATCCCAGCTTTTATGTAGTGTTAAAAAACTGAAACAGGAAGTGCTTCTGGACCAGTGTTGTTTACGTCTTGTGAAATGGTCTATAGTATGAGCCACGTTAGGCTATATATATACATTTGGACAGACAACAGTAAATAAGATGGCAGTTTCACACAAAGATGCTTGCTGAAGAACACAAGCTAACGCTGTTGTATTTCGACGTGCTTTTGTAAGCTTCCTTGTCAAAACGTACAGTAGCACCAGTCATGGCTGGTCTAGTTTCACATGTGCTTCAGACGTTATCATGATGATGCTCACAATGTTGTATTTGATGCAGCGCGGGAACAGTCATAAACATTTCAACTAATTAAATCCCGCATGTTCCAAAGCTAGCCATATTGGAACTATTCTCATAATTTTTAACAGACGAAATTACATATTAACATATAACATATTTATGCTGACTTAAGTATTTGAATAAATAAATTTTGAAAATATGGTTATTTATATATAATTAAAATAGATTACAAAAAGTGTCACCTGGTTACTTCTACACTTCCACTTTCCATCATTTTTCATCCACTACTAATGAACAAATGCATAATTATTTAATTGTCAATTCAACCAAGGTATAACTGTATAGCTTACATTACCCAAAACATACACTCTTAGAAGAAAAGGTTCTATATAGAACCTTAAAAGGTTCTATCAGCGCTACCTATTTGGAACCCCTAAAAGGTTCTATACACTCTTAAAAAAAGGGTTCCTCTGGGTTCTATATTGAACCCTGGGGTTCCATACTTGGCCAATAGAACCTTTTACCAAAAAAAAAATGGTTCTATATAGAACCATTTTGGAGTTCCATATATGAAGCGGGGGATGGAACCATTTCTGGTTCTAAATAGAACCATTTCTTCTAAGAGTGTAGAAGCATAGTAAGGATGTGATGCTTCTTCTTTTATTTTGTTTTCAGTTTTCATAAGTCAATTATTTTACCTCTATGAAGTGATAAATCTCCAATAAAGCAATTTAAGTGATAATATCAGCAGCACTACTGTACTGTATATTGATGTTTTATTTTATCCTCTGCAGGTGCCCAAAGATAAGAGAGTTTTACCAATCAGCAAAGTGGTTGAAATTTCAGAGGAACTGGAAAAGAGGTCAGTCAAATTATTAAAACAATGGTGAATATGGAGTTGAATAAATGGATTAAAAATGTGACTTGAAAAGGGACAGTTGTGGCTTAATGGTCAGAGAGTCAGACTGTCAATGAAGGTTGCGGTCCTGGATGGGTTACATTCAGAGGGCAAATTCTGTTCTTGTCCTTTACATGTCTTCACAAAAAAAATAGCACACAAGAAATCTTTTATGCTTTCATATATTGTCTTAGAAACACTACAGTGGGAAACAGCAGTCAAATGGAGCCGGAGACAGTGGATAACCGTGTGCAGGTACTGAAATCAGTGCCTGTAAATCTGACACTCAACACGGACCACCAGGACACCAAACGGGAACAGTACGGAGAGAGTGGACCCGCTGCTGTGGTGAAGGCTGAGGTGTACACTCCGGCTTTCATGGCTTCGGGAGTTCACTACAGGACAGAAGGAGAGGAACAGATGCGGGTCATCTGTGAACAGGCCCACTCGTACGACACCTCGGCTGTGTGTCATGGCGGATATAGGAAGGATGGCCATCGCAGTAGTCCAGATAGCACCTATGAAGAAGACAGCAATGAAGTGAGATTAATATCTGCTGATTAATATCATAAAACCGGGATGCATTAAGCAAATTAATGGGTGATCATTTCTTTGATTTAGAAGTACCCCCCATCGTCGATCGGAGCTGATGACTTCATATTTGACCAGTCGGACATGTTGTAAGTGTTATACACCAATAGGCTTGTATTATCATGGTGAATCTGCTCTCACAGAACTGAAAAACATCTTGTAATGTTCTTCAACAGAGACACTTTCCAGTACACATTAGAGGCCAGCAGGTCGTTGCGACAGAAACAGGGTGATGGGCCTATGACCTATCTGAACAAGGGCCAGTTCTACGCTATTACACTGAATGAGACAAGTGCCAATAAACGCCTACGACATCCCATCAGTAAATTGAGGGTGAGTGGTGTTCTTCTATCAAACCAGATATTTGAAATAACTAGGAAAGGTATAATGTAACAATGTCCATGTAATTGAATTATATTAATTTGGGAGCTTTGATTTATTTGTCATATGTATTTTATTGACAGCTCTTTTCTATAGATAAAACTTAAAAAAAACATTAAAGCTACAGTTTATTCTTAGCTAATGTGCTCATTAACTTTGTTCGAGTAATAAAGTATTCTCGTGAGTGTATAATATGCCATTGAAAATACATACAGGACGGGTAAGGGGTTCTAATGTCGGTCGCCATGTTGCCCCTCCATCTTGCCAAAGAGGGACATACCCGTTAATTCAAGCTTCGCCTTTCGCGTTTACGTTTGAGTTAACACTCATGGACGAGGTCGAACTGGAAGCCATGTTAATCTTGGACTACATTGGCCACCGTAGGAGTTAAAACGAAATCGGAATTGAGAGGAACAGAAACTAATATTCACTGGATGGTCATATACCTTTTCACCACTAGATGGAGGTAAAAATCACACAGTGTAGCTTTAAATAACTATTTTTAAAGTAGCATTTTAAATATATTTACTGTCCCTTTTGATCAAAGTATAATTTTATTCAGCAATTGATCAAAAGTGACAGTAAATACATTTAAAATGTTATGAAACAAAACTTCTGTTCTTTTGAAAACAACTGTTTTCAGCTGTGATAACCAAAGGCTGGAGGGATTGCTGTTGAATATTCAGGCTTCTCACCAGGAATAAATTATATATTTTTTCAATAAAATTTAAAGAGAAAATAGTCATTTTAAATTATAATAATATTTCACAATATTACTGCTTTCACTGTATTATTGATCAAATAAATGCAGCCTTTGAGAGCATTTGTTTGTTTATTTTGTTTCAAGGATAGCCCCTTGAGATGAACCATCTCATTTTCGAGGGGGTCCCTTCTTTACAACAAACAAGATCATAATAGAAATTCATAAATAAAGTAAATACAACACAAGACTATTACAAACATTTAAATACATTGACATTCTCATACATACACACACACTTTCAAACAATGCTCCCATAATACTCCCTTTGCCTTTTGTCCCCTACCATCATCAAAAACAAGTCAAAAAACCATCTGCGAAAAATAAAAAATACACAATCAAAATAAGGATATGCTTACAAACATCCATAAACCCATAAGGTTTCCCCGAGAGAGAAAAAAATAATAATAAAAATAATAATGTAAAAATGAAGTAAATAAATAAAAATGAATCAAAAACAAGAACATGTTGTTTGAAGATAAGTAAAAAGTGATGATTTAAAAACATAAAAAAAAAAAGATATAGATCTGAGCGAGCAGGGAAGATTATTCCAATCTGATGGAGCTTTATTCATTAAAAAACAAAAACATTCAAAATTCCCAAACTTTGGAATGATAGTGTATGACTATACCGTCCGTTCTTGTTATGGTAATAGTTTATCAAAATGCTAGTCAGCTCTTGATCATTCGGAATAGACATGAAGTAAGTGAGTGGATTGTGATAACCTCTGTTAACATCCTTTCTCAGAGTGTCATCATGGTTGTATTCAGTGAAGATAAGAACCGTGATGAGCAGCTGAAATACTGGAAGTATTGGCACTCCCGTCAGCACACTGCAAAGCAGAGGGTTCTCGACATCGGTGAGGCTTCCTCTCCATTATTGTGCTCAATGTTTAATCTCGATCTTGAATCAGCAATTGCCGACTTACTCCAGTTCAAATATTTGCACATTATCATATTTTTCCAAACGTCACTCTTTGGTCTGAATCGCCCTATGAACAAACTACTCATTGCCTTAAAAATGGTTCATTGTGCATTCACCACTAATTTGAACACTGATGGTGCCTCACATCCCATAAGCCCCCAGGGCTTTCGGGAGATTGGTTCCTCTTGTTTTTCCCCATTTGGTTGCTAAATGGCTATGCACTACAAATGTGCCCCGAAGCCGAATACCTTGTTCAGAAAAAACAAATTACGCATTCTACGGAGCACCTAAAGGGACATGGTGATGAAAATAAAATATACACTTATTATATAGTTGGGTAATTTATTGTATATAGACCATTTTGCAAGATGTAAACAACACTGGTCCAGAAACACTTCCTGTTTCAAGACTAAAGAAAACATCTTAAAGATTTTTGTTTAACTTTTTGATTCAGTTTTAAATGTTCTATTGGTTGTTTTTTATCCCAGCTTTTATGTAGTGTTAAAAAACTGAAACAGGAAGTGCTTCGGGACCAGTGTTGTTTACATCTTGCAAAATGGTCTATAATTTGCTGGCATCTATCAATATGCAAGGTATAAAAAATCACTTTTACAAGCATGCTTGCTTTTTACTTTGCTCATCCAGCTGCGGTACTGACCACACACACTTTATAAGACAAGATATTTGTCAATGACGCTCACAATCTTGGCGAATGAACATCCTGTTAGTCATCTCACTTTACTATCTTCATATGATTAGTGAAATCTGATGTACTGTAATTTCACCAACTATTGCAGCCTAACCATGTCCCATTTGGTGTTCCGTAGAATGCAATATTTATTTTCAGTGCCTTTCCGAATTCAGATTTAGGCTTCGGCACATCCCTACTATACACAGATTACTATCGAGATTATAGACCATTTTGCAAGACGTAAACAACACTGGTCCAGAAGCACTTCCTGTTTCAGTTTTTTAACACTACATAAAAGCTGGGATAAAATACAACCAATAGAACATATAAAACTGAATCAAAAAGATAAATAAACATCTTTACATGTGAAATAAAGAAAACAGTTACAAACTGAAACAGGAAGTGTTTCTGGACCAGTGTTGTTTACATCTTGTAAAACGGTCTATTGATAGATACAGATTTATTTACAAACTTATTTGGACTTACTAAACCTGTGATTTTAATTAGTTATTCGATGGTTTCTAATCCACAACTGCACACTTGGATAGTACTGTTGGTGTTATAATATCCTAAGTCACCCCACCTGGGATTTGAACTTGTGACCTTCAGATCACTAGCCCAGCTTCTGATTCAAGTTGAATGAAAGAAAAAAATAAAAAATAAAACAATGCACCGGTCCTAAATTGTTGGAGTCCACCTGGCGTGGGGCAACTATGAGCCCAAACAATTCCCATCTTATTCTTGGTCTTGTCACACCTTGAAAGAACAGTCATCCTGAGCCTGTTGCTTCTTGTCCTCCCCTCATCTCCATTAATCAGACGCTTTGCTATGTCCTTTGTCAAGATTTGGCCCCAAGACTTTAAAAATCCTGGGAGCACCCTGAGGCAATATCTGAGCCATCCTTGTTTTAAACCCTGAGGCAAAATAGGAATGTTAAGACACTTTAAGGTGAATATTGTGCTACGGGATGGAAAGCAAATTAGTGAGCTGGACAGACCTTTGGGCACATGGTGTACGGCAGTATGCTGAAGCCAAGTAGGGGAGACAGTGACTGAAACCTGACACCTACACAGTTGGGATTTGAATAGCAGTTGAGGCGGGATTGTTCCTCAAGCTTGGGGCCATGTCACTAGAGCTGGGATTTGAATGGGTCTATTTAATGGGGGGGAGCTGAGCTCACTTACGGGCATCAACGGGTGTGCTTGGTAAACCACCCAAATGCAGTCCAGTGGGAAGAGTTTTGCCCTTCTTAATCCCCGAGTTACCCCAAAGTAAGACAGGTGTTGGGTTTACTTTTCATGGATATAGACGCCCCTTTAATGACAGCTTATTGAAGTACAAAGTGCTCCATAATTGAAGAAAGAATGGCTAATTAGCATAGCAAATCACCTCTATTTCTACCAATCATACTAAGGGTTTGGGATTTGAACAAATTTGGTTTCAAGAGTCATGACAATCCCCCCTTCCTGTGAATTTAATAAAAAAAAATAGATTGTAAATAGGTAATGCAGTTCACACTATACGTGTAATATCTGCGATAACCCTCTGGATTGCGCCTATTTACGTGTATGTATCCAGGGATATTGTCAAAACAAGCATCTGCTATCAGTATCCAGATGATTTAGAATTTTCAATTTATGCATTTAATTATTATTAGTATTATTGTATTATCATTATTAGGGGAGGCCTATAGGCTAATTTTATTATTAAATTGATTGATCCGCTTGGCTAATATAATTAATTTGCCACGCAATATTTTCACAGCACATAACCAACGTGCTGTGAGGATAGTAAAATATGACATAATCTTACTCCTCATTAAAAATTGTCAAACATTTAGGTCGATTACAATGAATTATAGGCATATAAAATAACTATTAACAGTCTATAATATGTCCGAACATTGCCATAATTAATCATCAATGAAAAGAGGCGTTACATCGCAGGTGTGGCTTGGAAGATGTGGGTAATATTATCCATTTTGCAACACGAACTGGAGGTAAGCAACAGTAATTTGTAGCTAGTTTGAACTACAGAACTTAAAGATCTCCCTCTTTTCATTTTTATTTTAATTTTGCTGCAGATGGTTAAACTTTCTTTTTCCGCGCAGGTGCAGTGAGGGAAAAAACACTGAGTTCAGGGCTTTGCTTCAACTGTGCGATATAGTCACGAGGAGCGACCAAAATTTCGGACAAAATTTTGGATGAACATACCAGAAATTCATCCGATTGTCGATCGTGAGAGGTTAATCGCCTCTCGTTTCTCCCTGTACACTGCACGAACACTGCACAACAAACGACAAAGCTGAAAATCGGTCCGACACGAAAAAGAGTCGCACGAGTCAGAATTCGGCTCAAAATCGGACGAAAATCGCACAGTGTATGCTCGCCTTAACCTGAATGATACCTCAAACCAGGGATGGGCAACTTTGGTCCAACTTTGAGTTTAGATCCAACCCTGTTAAAAACTAACATGCATGTAGTCGGGTTAAAGGGATACTCCACTTTTTTATTGGAAATAGGCTCATTTTACAACTTCCCTTTTACCGTTTTCGAATGCATTCAGCCGATTTTCTGATATTTAGAAGAATATCAGTAACCAGACAGTTTCTGGTCTCATTGACTTCCAGTCCAAGATTTGGGTTAGAAAAGGGGTATAACATCCCAGTTTTTAAAATACGGGATATGAGCATATTCGGGTTTTTGCCATGGCCGTTCGTGACCGGGTTTTGAACGGGTTATTGGCTGCATGTAAATGTAGTCAATGATTAGCTTGTTCGGGTGTGTTTGATTAGGGTTGAAGCTAAACTCACCCCTTCCTCAAATGATACTGTTTGTTGACGAATGGGTACTATTTGTTTTCTAATCAACTTGAGTAATGTTTTAGCATGGCTGGTATACACAAATAAAACTGGCACTTAGGAAGTACCAGTCAAGAATGTAAAGTTAACTGCCCTAGCATAGACAGGCTGACTCCAGCCATTGAAACAGTTATGAGATCACCTGTCTTTTTTTGTAAATCTATAAAGTCATGACTTGTAGACTGAATCACAGACATGTTTAAAATGAGTGGTCATAAATAGCCTGTCAAGCGGCTACTAAAAAAGCAAGTGTTTGTTTACACAAACTGATAAGAAGGGTGCTGTTTCATATACACTCGGCTTATCAAGCTTGCACTGCTTGCTTTGGCAGACATTGTTTTAGTGTCGCCATTGTCCAACACTCGTCGTCAGAGCTCTTCACTCACATACCCGGTTCTTGCAATTATTATATCTCTCTCTAAGTGTAATCATATACCAAAAAAATTGTACAATAATGCAAGTATCAGCCTGTAAGTGAATTTTATGCTGGTTTTGACTGGTGTATGCAGGTTAGTTTTGGTGTTGTGGTGCATAGCTGTTACCAAACCTGTATCCAAAACACAACATATCCTTTCCCGCAAGGATAAAAACTGACTTGTCCTGTTCTACATCTACAGCTGACTACAAAGAGAGCTTCAACACAATTGGGAATATTGAAGAAATCGCTTACAATGCCGTGTCCTTTACCTGGGACGTGAATGAGGAGGCCAAGGTAAGTCATACACCACTAGGGCTGGGTATTGACACAAATTTCACAATTCGATTCGATTTCGATTCACAAGCTTGCAATTCGATTCGATTTCGATTCACAAGCTTGCAATTCGATTCGATTTCGATTCAATATTGATTATTTTGGATATCAGTAACAATAAATGGCACATTTTCTCAAGGAAATCAAATCTCTTAACTAATGCTGTAAACTATGGGAGTCTAGTTGTAGCCTATAGGCTTCATTAGCCTAATATGAAGGTAATAATGAACTGTTTTGTAGCTATACAAACACTTTATTTTTATAATAAGAAGATTATATGTAATACAAACATTTAAATGGTGGCTGTCAAAAACTTGCCAGATTTATTCAAATATGCATTAAATATTGAAGAACATTAAGATTATAATGCATATGTAATATGGTGTATATATTTAGCAAAATGCTCCTCTCTAGAGTTATTTTTTCTCGCTGACTAACGAGTTTATGTGGGTTTTCTGAGGTAAATATGACGATGACATTGATTATAAGCTGTTTAACTGACGTCTTTCCACGGTTGAAACGCTGATTGAGCGAATCAATGTGACATGATCCGGATTTGGATAAGTTGTTCTCTATCTTTAACACACTTTCAGATGCTCGTTCATGTTTATTTGGCGCTGTGACTGGTATTATTAAGCCGGAAGAGAGATCAGCGTTGCTGCTTCTCCAGAGCGATCTCACGCCACAGCGACAAAACGTTATTTATGTTTTTGAATTTCTAAAGAAAATGGATGTAATTTGAAAATTGAAACTTTGTTTCATATTAATAGTAACAAAGGACAAAGATTATTGTGATTTTTTTTTGGGGGGGGGGGATGCGCGCAGTGATCCATTCATTCAAATAAAACAGGATGACTAAACGATTCTTGAGATTTAAGAATCGATATCGGTTCGTAAAAATGAGAATCGATTAAAATCGAGAAATCGATATTTACTATTACCCAGCCCTATACACCACCACCAAGACTTAACTCTTTGATTCAGACATGGCACAGCAAATTTACAATGACTCCGGTGTGTGTTTTGGTTTTGTGGACATCTGCTTACAGTACTTTAATGGTCACCGTGGATGATGAATTGGCTGGTGTAGTTGTTTAGCTCAACCGAGGGTTCGGTTTCAGTCTGTCTACATCAGCACATCTATGTTTTGTCACAAACTCTCATTCAGTCTTATTACCAGCATTGTGTGCGATACACAAAATGTTATTGAGACACAGGGTGGAGTGTTACGACATATGATATGTGTATTTTACACACATTAGTCTCTTGAACCCTCCCAAAGAGCCCTGTATAGCGTGACGTTTGGGATTCACAATTCCCTGCCGCATCTTCCCCAGTTCTGTCTATTAATTTAAACCTCTATTTTGTCCTGGACGTGTTCTCGGGTTTCACCTGTATGCTACTGACAGTAGGAAATGAACCAGGTTTGTGTACACGGATCCTCCCTGCCTCACAGGTGCAGTCCTGCCCTCCTATTGTGGCTCTTCTGTTGCAATTCAGCTCAGTTCAAACACTCGCCTATATTCAACTAAAGTGCTCTACGCAAACATTTGCTTTTTATTGGGCCAACTCATACTGTAATACCTATTAATATGGACTGGATGATGTCTTAGCGTAGCCGCCCTTGGACATACATGAGTGTGTTTGTTCGAGTCTGAGCTCATGTAAAATGGGGTGTGCATGCAGTGGGGTGTGAAATGTTCTCAGTTTGATCTGATAAGCATCTCATACTGTGACCTAACATACTCTCAACTTTTATTACAAGTCCCTTCAAAGCTCTTCCCATCATGGCTGGCTGGAATGGAGGAAGCCATAAACTGAGTTTCTCCGTGAGCCATTGATCTGTGAGGTGGAAATGAGGTCCTTTTTGGGGCGTGGAAAAGCTCAGTTTCTTTTTCAAGTGGTCCAAAGTAGTACTTTAAAATAACTGATTTTTATTATAATATATTTAAAATGTAATGTATTCCTCTGTCTCCTTCAGTGTCACATGATCCTTCAGAAATCACTTTAATATTTTTTTTATTTTTTTTATTATTTTTTATTTATTTATTTGACAGGGACAATGCAAACAAACATAGTGTCAAGACCAAGCATGTCACTGAAGTGTTGCATATAAAGTTTATAGCTATTGCAAATTTTCAACTCCTGTCCCTGGAAGGGCTTTTATACACAATAAAATTTACATGATTAACTACTACAATAAAATAATAATAATAATAAAAACAATAATAAAAATACTAAAATAATATAAAAATACTAAAATACTAAAATAATATGAAGAGTTCAGATGCAAAAGCCTCTAAGTGCCATTTGAAATTTTCTTCTTTAATGATGATTTTTATCAAACTTGTATATTTAAGTTCAGTAATTTCACTTAAATAACAATTAATAGGTAATTACCATTGCCATTTAAGTGAAATCACAGAACTTAAATATACAAGTTTGATGAAAAATCATCATTAAAGAAGAAAATTTCAAATGGCATTTAGAGGCTTTTGCATCTGAACTCTTCATATGCTGATTTGGTGCTCAAGAAACATTTAAGTTGAAAACAGTTGTGCTGCTTAATATTTTTAATGAAAAAAATTGTTTTAGTCAATTAAAAAAGTAGAAATTTAACATTAGTAACATTATACATGTCTTTTTCACTTTTGACATTAGTTTAAAGCATCTTTGCTGAATATAAATCTTACTTTCTTTAAAAAAAAAAATCTTTCTGACCACATATTTTTGAATGTCTAATTCAGATTCTAATCCCAATTCTAATTCAGAATGTGCTCAGTTAGATTTCGATCAGTGTGAAATGTTTTGCACAACGCCATACAGCTCATGTGAAGTTCTCCAATCCAGTTTTCTTACCATGCTTCACCTAACGATGGCCTCTTTCTTGTCCTCTGGCATTAGCAATGGTTGATTATATGAAACTGTTAATAACTAACCACATAAATATTTAGAGAGCAAGACTCTGTTCCAAACCTTTGAGGGCTAAAACTGCATGTAAAGATGACATTTAAGATTAAAAATTGGTATTATATCAATATAAAAGCATTCGGAGCATTTAGTAATCTGTTCAGATGAAACGGTACAGGTTTTAGAGTGTAGTCTTAACGTTGCTTTCTGATAGACGTGTCGAGGCAGGCACCTGTTTTGTGTGTGTAGGTGGCTGGTGGGTGAAAAACAAGGTGCTCTTTCAACGGTCAGGATTGTGTAGGTCAAAGCTGTTTGAAAATATGAATATGGAAGTTCTTATGCAACTGTCCATTACATGTGTGCATTTGGATGCAAAGTGTTGAACATACAGTACATTACATATACAACATGCTAGTGGCAGAGACAGACACTTGTAAAAAATGTAGTTTATTTGCTTATTTTGCAAACATACATTTTCATTTGTCTTTTTTCTCTGATTGTTAGATCTTCATCACGGTGAACTGTCTGAGCACAGATTTCTCCTCTCAGAAGGGGGTGAAGGGTCTTCCTCTGATGATACAAATAGACACCTACAGCTACAACAACCGCAGTAACAAACCACTGCATAGAGCCTACTGCCAGATCAAGGTCTTCTGTGATAAGGTGAACCATGACCTTTAACCTTTTGAATCTGTTTTTATATTAGTATTCCAACAAATGCTGTACCTGTGGAAGCGGTCAGGGAGAACTGTTAAGAGCGCTGCAGTGATGATGACATATTTTTGTGGCTTGACCCCTTAGTTAAAAAACACACAAATTGTATTTTTCCATTAGCTTTTGGATTATTGCAGAAAATAAGCTCTGTGAGCGACTAAGATTTATTGTTTATCATGATAATTTTCAAAAATGAACACAACTTTTATGAATTTTGCAGCCTAAATACACCACCATTAAAGTTCAACAGCTCTTTCAGTCTTTATTAAGGAGCGCTTTCCCTGAAAGTTTGAGTTAAAATAGTTTGCAAGAGCACAATTATAAAGACAGTGAAGTGAAAGGGGAGTAGTGAGTAGATGAGTTTATTTGTTCGTTAATTCCAGACTGCCTCTGTAGTCAAAAAATGTGATGTATTGAATAAAATGTGAAAATAATCATAATAAATCTTCACGAAAAACCCATTCAAAAACTTTAGGACGCTAAAAATGCTTTCTCGTTCCTTTATTTTGCATGCATTGCATGATCACGTATTCTAATAAGCAGTGAATTGTTTTTAGCTACAGCTTAAGTGGGTCAGTTGAATTCTGACATCATCAATGCTGTTGTTCTTGGTCTTCAAACTCAGTAACTGTAGTGCCACCTTGTGGTTGTTCACAGCACTTGCAGTCATCTAATTTCCTCTATATGTCTTTCGGTCTGTGTTTGTGCGGCACAGGGAGCGGAGAGGAAGATCAGAGATGAGGAGAGGAAACAGAACCGCAAGAAAACAAAAGGTCTGAAGCACTAAAAAAAATTAAAAATATCTCCAATTCATAAAAAAAGTATTTACATATTTTGTGCATTTGTTTTTAAATAATCAAGAGGCTTTAGATATCCATCACTGCTATTAAAGGGTTAGTTCACCCCAAATTGAACATTCTGTCAGTAATTACTCGCCCTCATGTTATTCCAACCCTGTAAGACTTCCGTTCATCTTCCGAACACAAATAAAGATATTTTTGATTAAATCTGAGAGCTGGATCACTCCTCCATAGGCCTCTTAAAGGGATACTCCACTTTTTTTTGGAAATATGCTCATTTTACCACTCGGTTTTACCGTTTTCGAATCCATTCAGCCGATTTTCTGATATTTAGAAGAATATCAGTAGCCAGACAGTTTCTGGTCTCATTGACTTCCATAGTAGGAAAAAATATATACTATGGAAGTCAATGAGACCAAAAACTGTCTGGTTTCTGATATTACTTCTAAAATTCAGAAAATTGGCTGAATGGATTTGAAAACGGTAAAACTCGACTGTTTAACTCTGGGGGAGTTGTAAAATGAGCCTATTTCCAAAAAAAATGGAGTATCGCTTTAAGGGATTGAAAATGGCCGGCCCATTGTTAAAATAGTCTGAGTTACTATAGTGTCTCAATCTTAAGTTTATCAAGCGACGAGAACACTTTTTGTGTGCAAAAAAGCAAACAAAACTTTTCAACTATTCATTTCCTTCTCTGTTGGCCTGGCCTTGAGATTTGACGTAGTGTAACTGGGCAACGCTTCTGGTTGTATGTCACACGCATCACACACATGACCAGCGTTGGTCAATAGTGAGCCTACGTGTGACGTACAACACAGAAGCTTTGCGCAATACAATCTCACGGCCTACAGAGAAGAAATAGTTGAATAAAGTCGTTATTTTTGTTTTTTTGCGCACAAAAAGTATTCTCGTCGCTTGATAAACTTAAAGGTGCAATATGTAGGATTTTTGCATTAAAATAGCCACTAGGTCAGTGTTATATATATTTTGTTTAGTTGATTACTTGCGATATCCGAAATGTTTACAACTATTTGTAAATCGTGAGAAAATTGGACATGTGAGCCGGGGTGAGGAGTCAAATCCCCGTTACCCTCGGTTACTGCCATAGTAACCATGGTGACAGACATGCCCAGCTGGTTTATGCTTAGCAGGACACTCACGTTGTTGGTGTTGTTGTTTTGTTCAAACATTTTGGACCATGGCAAGCAGACTTTGAGACAAAAAAAGGACTAGAAGGAAGATCAACATCTTTCGAGATGCAGAGAGCTCTTTCGACTTGACGAGTGGGATATGGTATGATCGCGCTGGTATACGTCTCTTATAAGCAATCACGCCCTGCTTCACACCACAGTCATGTTATTAATGACATTAATGAATTCACTAATCCATAAAAGATCCATCAGCTTGACGACAAGGTCCATAATTACGCTTACACCTTTTTTATTGTAAGAGATTAGCGACCCCTGGTGGCCAAAAATGACATACTGTACATTTAAGATTGAGCCACTGCAGTCACTCGGACTATTTTAACGATGTCTTTCATAATTTTTGGGCCGGCCAGTTTCGATCCCTTAAGAAGCCTATGGAGGAGTGATCCAGCCCTCAGATTTAATCAAAAATATTTTAATTTGTGTTCCGAAGATGAAAGAAAGTCTTACAGGGTTGGAACAATTACTGACAGAATTTTCATTTTTGGGGTGACCTATCCCTTTAACCATGATGTGTGGGATGAGTCATTACGAGTTATTCTTACATGTTCAAATGACATCATCTCATTAGGAAAGGATGGAGGCGTTGGGGCGGTTAATCTCCCCAAAAAGTGTGACGCCATCTTCTTTAAAATGATGACTGATTTGGATGCTCAGCCGGTTCTCTTCATCCCGGATGTGCACTTTGGAAACTTACAGAGGGCAGGACAGGTATGAGTCAGCCTGAAAACGGAAAACACACTCAATGACCAGATCACACACTCTTTTGTGTTAAGCATCCTCTGCCATTTTGCCGACGACCATAATTGCAGTCTCCTAGTCTGCCGAAATCTCAAAAAGGTTGAAGTAGTGTCTCTTAGTGTCTCCCTTCTGTGTCTAACGAGACTGAGACTTATTAGAGAGGGACCGACCTTTCAAAACCTGACTTGAAGCATGCGGGTATCTTGATACTTAGGTGACATTTGTTTATTTGGAATGACATCTGCTGAAATGTCTGTTTTGAGACTTGATGTTTGAGTATATAAATGTTCAAAGGAGATAAAACTACAAACTTTGTACTCTTTGCAGGTATTTGCATTTAATACTGAGGAAATTGAACGAGAGGGGTGAGTTTAACCTTTTCTTCAATATTTCAGCTGCAAACCAGAAAAAATGTATTCTTGTATCAGAACTGGATGAACATCACATCACCTCAGATTTACAAATAGCATTGACACGATAGCAGATTATAGGGATCTTCAAGAATATTTGAAGTTTGAGTTCCAAAACGCGATAAACGCCATTTAAAAAAAAAATGAGTTACTGCAAAAATCAGACTTTTCAATACCGACCAGATACAAAACAATGTTTAATTTTACGTAAAATGGGATATCCGCCGTGTTATTATGTAATGTTTTCTCCCTTTCTTTCCAAACCGCGACAAACGCCAGTCTCCCTTTTCTGCAAAATGCCACATATCCGCTAAACCAATCACAACGCACCATTTACAGCTGATCACCGTCAAAAAAGTTCAGCGGCGACGTCCCAAGGTTGACAACAGCGATATGCATAACGTTAGATCAAGCTTAATAAATCATAATTCATGATGATGTGCTCGTCTTAGTTAATGTTTTAATTAAGGTTTTGTTCATCCATGAAGTCATGAATGAAAAACGTTGAACTGTTAAAAAAAACGTTGTTAGTTCCTGATGATATTAATATGAATTAATGCATAATTCATTTATCCATGAATTCATGATAATTCATGACATGAACCCTTAAAGTGTTACCGAATATTGTTATATTAAAGCAATGGATTTATAGTATGCACAAGAAATTCAATGTGTATAAAATTTTATTTTCATTAATTGCATTTTGAAAAAAAATAAATTATTGGATTTATTGCATTTTGGGGGAAAAAACGATCTGTTTTTATAATAAATCTTTGGAAATCAAAACCTGGATTTCATTTTTTATTGTTATTATAACCTACAAATGCTATGTGAAAATTTGAAACCGAAAATAGTGGTTTTCATCTTCCCATTTTCTTGCTAAAGAAAACACAGTTTTACTCAAATTCATCAAAATGGATTTATAGCGTTTTGGAACCAAACTCTTCATTTATTATCCACACTAATGTTTAATGCAAAAAAAAAAAAAAAAGACTGTTAAACGTAGTGAGTTATGTTAAACGTAATGTTATTTCCTCCATAACATTAAAGGGTTAGTTCACCAAGAAATGAAACTTATACAATAATTTACTCACCCTCAAGCCATCCGAGGTGTATACAACTTTCTTCTTTCACCCAAACACAAGAGTTACATTAAAGATATCCTGGCTCTTCCAAGATTTTTAATGGGAGTGAATAGTAACTGAGGTTTTGAATACCAAAAAATCACAACCATTTCTTTTTAAAAAATTTAATTTTAGACTTGTTTTGTTTTGGAAAGATCCACATAATGTTCAGTCCATAGGTGCGTAGTGTTTCTTAAAGGGTCATGAAACCCCAAACCAAATTTTCTGAGATTTTAACAGAGGTTAGGTATGTGTGTTGAACACACCACTGAAGACGATGTTAGCTTCTGTTAGATTTAATTGTAGGGTTAAAATGGTTAAATTTTTTTTTTTTTTCATCTTCCGGGTTTAAAATCTTCATTGCGTCCACGTCACACGCTGTGGCATAGCCGTGGACTGAGAGTGCGTTTATGACTCACCTGTGTCTCATAATTATTAATGAGACTGAGTTTTTATATCCTATGAGAAGACAATGTCTCTTAATTATTCATGACGTCACCATTTTCACAAATTCACATTTTGTAGTCTACACGGAAACAATAACGGTATTGTTGCAAAAACAGTTTGCAGGCCCTCAAAACGCTGTTGTCGTCACAGCCAAAAACGTATCAAATGTTTTCCGTTTTTAGTTGAAAACACTGTTGTGTAAATCTGACGTCACTGTATTTGTTTAGAAGTGTGCTGGTAAAGAGGATGTTCCGATCATCTGACGATGACTTCTGCCCACCGCCTCATAAACAGCTAAGAGAGGAGACGCAGAAGAGAGGTCAGAAAGGTCACACATTTACAGCTTGAGTGTGTATTTTTCCTAAAAGAAAAATATTTTTACAAGGTGGTGATTTCGTATGAATTTGTGCGATGTGTGAATCACTTTTTTTTTTCTAAGTGATCATGACCCCATGAACCCGCTCCTAAACATAATCGTCACGTTAAAATTGAGAAATGTACAAATTCATACGAATTAGCCACCAATTTGGCAAACTTAAAATGGACACTAGAGGTCGACCGATAAGGTTTTTTTCACGCCGATACCGATCTTTTGAAATCCGGGTCGATCGATGGCCGATTAATGCTGCCGATTTATTTTGGGCCGATATTTGCTTGGTTTTTAATCTCTATTTGAAAGATAAAATGTAAAAGAAATGATAATTACCTAACATAGACAAACTTTCTCAACAAAAACATTTTATCCTCTGAAAAAATGTCCTGAAACATGTATTTTTGATTTGTTTTGTTTGTTGACAAACAAAGACAAATGGACGTAACATAATTATCACAAATAATAATATGCCTAATAATCGGCATATATTATTTGTGACATACTTGGATATTGGCCAATGCCGATTATGTTAAAAAAATGCCAAAAATCGTCCGATTAATCAGTCTACTTCTAATGGATACGAATTGCTATGAGATTGTGTTGGTATTCTACTGTACTATACAGAAGTGAAAAATAAAATAGTTTCCAAACTCCCACAAAGGCCATGAACAGTACCCAAAAAATTCTCTGAATTGTTTGCCTCTATGGGATTCTGTATGTATGGTGAAGAAAAAATGAAAAAATTTTTCTTACATATTTGCATAGCTGTCGTTTTTTCACGTTTCTCACGTATTTTACCTGTTTTCCCACTGTTTTTAGTATTTTCCCGTAAATTAAAAAAAAGCTGTGCACACAGCCAAGCGAAATGAGGTCTTGCCGGTCTTGCGACTTGTCAGTGACACACTGTCTCTTTCTCTCTCACACATATGTAGGCTAGTTATAAACTCTTTAGACTTTTAATAATTAGTGCTTTATTTTTACAGTTTGTGGGTAAGAATCGTGTAAAAAATAAGATCCCTTATTTTGGCCATGGATTCCGGGAAATCTCCCTTATTTGACTTAGTCGCAAGCTATGCATATTTGGTGTTGTAGTCATGTACATTTTAAAGAAAGATGTAAGGTGATTGTACTTTACTATTTCCATGACTGTATGTTTTTACAGTGCTCTTGTATGTGAGGAAGGAGTCAGATGAGGTGTTTGATGCTCTAATGCTGCGGACGCCCACTCTCAGAGGACTCATGGATGCAGTGAGTATCTGTTGCTATAGGGGGCGCTCTACTCTAAATTACCCAAGCATTGTTCTGATATGTCAAATGCAACAGTTCATCGATTTGAAAATGAAACTTCAGTGAAAAGATTTCACGTTTTTCTTCCAAAAAAATTTTCTAAGTAAAATCAAAATAAAATCCTTTACCATTTTCAATAGTATAAATCCAAAGCTAGATCCAAATCTATACACTGAGACAAACAATAAGTAGAATTTACTAAATTTTTATTTGACAAGTTTTTGCACAAATGTTTTTAAAGTAAATTTCACATTTATGGAATCTACTTAACTAAGCCGAGTAATATTAACAAAGTGAATAAGTACATTATATTTAGTCATTTTTACAAATCCGATGTAATTAATATAGTTAAGTGAAACGATTTGATATTTTAAATGCATTTTACTTGTTTTATGCATTTTAAATTAAATTAAATGTTTCTCGTATAATGTGACAAAATCATACAGTGGCAATGTGCAGTTAAGAGTAATTTATTAAGAAATAATCATCTACCGAAACAAATAGGGCGCATGATTTTGCGTGTTCAGTCTCTCTTTGTCTATTTCAACAGGTTTTCAAAAATCCTGAAATTAAGAAAAGACAATAATCTGTAAAATATTCAAATACTTTTAAATTAAAAGTTAATTATGCATTCAGATTATTTATTTCACTCATAGCAAATCATATCCAAAACATCCTGCATGACCTTACTCAATCAAAATTAAATCATTGTAAGTTTGTGAGGCTCTGATAAACGATTGATGATTTCTTTCATATGGACAGATTTCTGAGAAGTATGGTGTTCCCATTGACAGAATGGTCAAGATTTACAAGAAGAGCAAGAAAGGGTGAGTAATTGATTGAGAGAAAAAAACTACATCACAAGAGTACGTATTTCACATGACGACTAATAAGCCTTTTTTGACTTTATTTATTTCCTCCATTGCAGGATCCTGGTGAATATGGATGATAATATCATTGAGCACTACTCTAATGAGGACACATTTATCCTGAGTATCGAGAACTACGCAGATGCCTACAAAATCACATTAATGGAAATATGAACTTCTCATGTGTTTCTATCATTCAGTGTGTTTAAGCTAAAAGACTTGTTACTTGGACTCCAACCTGGTCAAATTCATCGTCAGCTGTCCACAAATTGAATTGACATCGGCAAATGCTGATATACCTCATTTTTAAGAGACCTCAAGTATGATTTTTAAAGGGTCAATAGGAGTTTCAGTGCGTCCCAAACATGTCCAGGATTTCACTGTTCTAGTGTGGATGTAAAGACTTTTGCTAGTTGAATGTGTGATTATTGAATTTCATTTAAATGACCAAAGTGAAGACAATTTCACATTTCACTTGATTTTGGAGACCCTAAATTTCAACAGTACCTTCATAAGATTTTAACCGGAGAAATACAAAACACCTTCATCATAAATCAAACTACAAAACTACAATGCTAAAATACATTTGCACGCAGCAAAAATATGATTTTAGGACTTTTCTGTGGAATTTGAGACTCTGCAGAGCTATTGATCTGTGAAAATTGTCCATTACTGTAAATCTTATTTTTTATTTGTTTATTATGTTGTCAGTAATATTATTATATATATTTTTTTGCCTGGTAGATATAATTTAGGTCTGAATATTTACAAACATATTTTCTGATGCACAAAGAAAGCTTTTTTTTTACTATGCCACACATTTTTTGTATGCTTAATAGTGCAAAACAGGAAATATGAATGAATAATGTCTTCAGTATAGTAACTGTACAATACTGCATTATCAGAATTTTTTTCAAATGTGTTGCTCAGATACATTTCAGCCATGTTTTATGCGTTGCACTCATGTTTTAATGTGGAAATATTTTTTAGAGGTTCCATTGATTTCATGACCTTTGAGGAGGTTTGAAACAGCCAAGGTCTGTCCCGAACTATTCAGTCTTAGTGTTTGTCTATAGTGTGACAGGTGCATATTAACTTTGTAGTCCAGATTCAGTCGATCAGTGTCATGATGAGCTGTTTATTTTGTAATGTTTGAATATCATTGTCTTCCAAAAGAAAATTATGTAAAGGGCACTTCGGATAATTATAATTTGTATGTAAATAAATGCATTTTTTATTAAGTTTTGACCAAAGATTTTTCATTCTGCACTTACTTTACTATCCCGTGATGCCACGGGAGAGTAGGAGCTGTCGTTATATTTGAAAATGCCGGAAACCGGAGACGCGGGAGTTTTAAAGTGTATATAAAACACTTTTTTTTTTTTTTTTGTGGTGGAACTGTGTTTTTTTAACATCATATAAGTAAACGCTTGACTTGTTAAACGTTTTAAATAATGTAAACCGTGTGTACAATTTTCTGATTTGGCTGCAAAATGACACTTATCTTTGTCATTATTACCGAACTGAACGAGCTAACATTAATTCCTGTCAGTTAACGTTAGATAACTCTGTTTTCTTTAAACAAAGACGTTTGTTGTTTCGCAGTTGAATGAGATGCTTACACAACTTTTTTTTTAAATTTATTTTAAAACGATTTGGAAAAACGGGTGGAAATTAGCACTTAATTAAAGGAGTAGGTCTGTTCGAACTCGTTCATCAAAATGAACGAATCTTTTCCCGAGTCAATTCGTTCATTTCGTTCGCTGAATGAACCAAATGACATTTGGATGAACGAGTTCGAACAGGAGAGTCACGCACGCGCATCACAGAACGACCATTTGAGTTTATAAAACTTAAACTTCGTTATTATTTTTTTAAACGAGCGATCGTTTCGCTTGATAAGACCCGTATTCATCGTCTGGAATCGTTTAAAGCCCTTTGAACAGTTTGCAGTTTGCACTGAAACGGTGTTTTGGACCTTGAACCGTTTGTTTACAAGTCCATTATGGAGAAAATCCTGGAATATTTTCATCAAAAACCTTCATTTCTTTTCGAGTGAAGAAAGAAAGACATGGACATCTTGGATGACATGAGGGTGAGTAAATTATCAGCAAGTTTTTTTGTTTTTAATGAACTAGCTCCTTAACCCTGATGTTATGGAAACATTTAACCCTATGCTAATGAGAATTTCACTCTAAAAGTTTGTCAAACCAGGGTTTAAAAGTGATGTTCATGCAAGACCAGACACAGAAACATTTTGTTTCTTTAATATTTTTTATTTATGATATAACCAAAACAGATGCCTGTGTTTATAATGTCCACACTCACACAACGTACAGGTTACCATATAAAATCTACAAAATGATAATGACAAACATTTAGTTTGACAGATAACAGTTACAGCATAAAGTGATAGAACACTGTTTGTTTTGCCATTTATATTTATCTGTGTTTGGCACTTGACCACATGTTGCTGTCTTGTGCGGTTTAGAATGCCAGATGCTAAATAATTGTTTATTTTTTTAATGAAAGTGAATCTACAAACATGAGAAAACAATACATTTTTTACCTTTTGTAATTAGTTTTTAATTCAAGCCACTTCACGAATCGTTCTGAGTAGCATGTGGCTGATCATTACAGCCTTGACTTCACAGCAAAGTCAGTGGAAACCACAGAGATTTTCTGATGACTATCCATCATACACGTGGCCTAAAATAAGATGTGGTTTGCTTGTGAGCGAGTGTTTGTGTGTTTATAAATGGACAGTGGATTTGCATTACACAAAAAGCATGTGTTAACCACACCACAGTCCCTTGCATTTTAAAACATAGTCACTTCTAACCCTGAGGATGTGCAGACATATTCATGCACACTTGTCTCTCCATAGTCCCGTCACTGACCGAATGCTCACAAGTCCTGACCGAAATGTATGCATAGACAAACACTGGATAAACACACGAGTACTCAAAAAGCACCACATTCATACATACATGGAAATGCAAAGGATACATTCAGTTTGACCAACATCCATTATGTGCAAAATGATTTGAGCTGTTATTTTACCCGGGGTATAAAAATAAAATACTATGGCCGAGATTCAGTCAAATTTGAATTGGCTTTAGCATGTTGCTAATTGTAATGTAGTATTTTGTTGATGGTGTTGTGGTGTATACGCATTAAAAATGTGTTGTCTGCTCATTGTCACAGTCATACATGGCTTAACTGTGCAAATATTATTTGAAACAGAAGAAAATGTCATATTTCAATAATAGCAGTTTCATAATGAAAAGCATCTTCTGTGGTGTGATACATTTTCATCACCCACCAAGTTACACCATAATTACTGTATATCTACAATTTCTTTGTCTAATACTTTTTCATGTTTCCTCTTTTGAAGCAGCAAAAGTCAATATTATTGTCATCCCTATGAAAATATTACTTTATAAAATGACATTTATTGATTTGTCAGTCCTATGCATCAAGTATTAATATTTAAAAAATATTTTAAGTATAATATTTTATAAACATTATACTTGTGCTCATAAGAGGAGCACCATCATGACCAAATTTGATCCCAACCATCCCTTTAAGATTTTCTATCGCAGGCTCTGTCATCATAATGTTAGAAAAAGAAAAAAAACTTCAAGTAAAAAAACTCGCCCAAGCGCCTCTCTTAAATAGATGTACAGTCCATATGTGCTGAATGGAATTGAAGTACTAGGAACACTAGCTAGGAATGACAATAGTTATTGTATGAGTGAAATGATTTAATTTAGAAAATTCTTAAAAACAATTATTAAAAAAAACTATAGTTTGGTGTTTAGAAAGCATATGCAATCTGGGATTTTAGAAAATTTTGCTTCAGCTCCCTCTAGGAAAGCTCTTTTTGAGGGGGTTTATTTCAGTACCAAAATTTTACAACAGGATGCGATGTCACTTTCATCACTGCCTAAAAATGTGAGGAATTCACAGAGAGACACATGTACACCAGCTTCTTAGTGTGTTTGGCCTCTGTATTTGAGTTTCTGAACGTTATCTGCCGTGTGTCTGTGGGGAAAATATAGTTGCATGTTTCCATGCCTGGTGTTCAGTGGTAAACCCACAGACACTCAGATAGGGGTGTAGTTTTGGAGTCCAGGCTCTGACCGAACAAAAAGACTTGTGTGAGAGAGGTCATGAAAGTAGCGAGACGCTGTTGATTCACTGGCCGGCACTGCTGGGATCGCACTGCAACAGTCGCACGATGGATGGGTCGTTCTTTGCTCCCTCTACAAACTCTTCGAGTGATAGCTTACCTGAGGGAGAACAAAGGGTCAAAGGTTAAAAAAAAACCTGTTTGGCATGAGTCATTAAGCCATTCGAAAGCACAAGTATTTATACAAGGCTATTTTGAGCAAGAATCTGAATCTCAAAAATACCAGACTTAAGTACCCCTTTAAATGTGATGTTTTCATAATTACTTTGAAATACTGTCAAATTCTCTGACAACAATTTATGACTTTTTTATAATATACTATTTAATTATATACAAAATATAATAATATACTAAAGTGTATTTGTAATTATTTTTTTTGATAAGTTTCAAATGAGTAATCTCTGTCTTTACACTGTAAAAAATATTTTCACGATTTATTGTCACCACTTTTTATTTTTTGTCAAATCAACTCAGATAATTAATGAGGTTCAGATAACATAATATTTTGAGTTTCTATTTACTAAACCAATCTCCATCATCATATTGAGTATCACATCATATTAATTTAAATTAACCTAAAATGTTAAGGCAACCAACTTACTTTTTTAAGTTTAAAACCAACATTATTTTTTACAGTTTGTCTATCTATCTATCTATCTATCTATCTATCTATCTATCTATCTATCTATCTATCTATCTATCTACACTGTAAAAAAAAATTGTTGGTTTAACTTAAAAAAGTAAGTAACCTGGTTGCCTTAAAATTGTAAGTTGATTGAAATGGAAAAAGTGAGTTAATACAGTGAAGGAGATTAATTTAACCATCAGAAACTCAAAATAATAAGTTATTTAAGTTGATTTGACAAAAGAAAAAATGTTGTGATAACAAATCTTGAAAATCTTTTTTTTACAGTGTATCTATCTATCTATCTATCTATCTATCTACACACACACATATTTATTTCCTTTTAAATTCATTCAATTATATATGAAGAGTTCAGATGCAAAAGCCTCTAAGTGCCATTTGAAATTCTCTTCTAGAATGATCAGTTTTATCAAGCTTGTATATTTAAATTCAGTGATTTCACTTAAATGGCAATTCATTGCCATTTAAGTGAAATTACTGAACTTAAATATACAAGCTTGATAAAAATTAACATTCTTGAAGAAAATGTCAAATATATATATTGTTTTCTTCAGTAAAATATGTTAGTCACGTCAAATCAAGTTTTCTTTTTAAATCATGACAAACTATTATTAAGACAATGATTTGCACTTTAAGTGTATGAAATTCATCTTCAATGAAAATGTACTTTAAAGTAAAATTTTAATCTGGCCTTAATCTGTACTTCAGAAACAGTCATGAACGTACGATTACAGTACGTTGCCTTTTATATCATTAATATGATAATATGTAGAAAGCTCACCATCACGATTTGTGTCCATCTGGCGGAAGATCTTCTCTGTGCGTTTCTCAGGCGTGGACTCGTCCTCTGGCATCTTCATCACTGCAGATACCATCTTATAGATGGCCTGAAAAAGACACAGTTAGTTTGGGGTTACCATGCGCTGCTAAGTACACATGACACAGGATTCTGAACCTGTTGCAATGCAATGCATAATGGGATTGGCTTATCTGGGAAAGATACATGCAATGCTGCGTTAGCATTTGCTAGCTTGTTGGCACCTACAGTATGATGCTGCTACCATCGAAACAGGCACTAAAAGCTGCCTTTTGTAAATCTTATTAGAGAAAATTAGAGGACTCGGGGTATGATTTGGAACTGGAGCCATCACTTCGTAACTTTTTTAAAGTAACCATAGCGACTGCTTTTCTCAGGTAATTGAATGAATTGAAAAGGAAATGACAGCCATTTGTGTGCACTCAGCTGTAAGATTCAGAGAGTGCACTTAGGAAGCTGACACATCTCACCAATTGCTACTATGCTGTGAAATGTACCTAAATGCAAGCAAAAAGAATTGCCTGCTGCACTCAACTCTCCCTGTCTGTGCAAAACACAAATTAATATTGCTATATATGAAGTAACCTACTTAAAAAAAAACAAGGTAATAAGGCACAAGCCAAATCCATTTGCCATGTTTATTCACTGAATAGAAATAGCTGAAATATATATACAATAAGTTTAGAAAATATCTATTCTGTAAGTATTAAAAACCAAAGGAAATAGAATGTCTGTTGGGGGACCACAATAAAAAGTTAGCGGTTATTACACAGACGGTCTAATTAGAGGTAGTTGGAAAGTTACTTGTAGTCAACAGACCATTTCAGTTCAAGAGACCATCAAAATAAAGTGTTACTGTCGTATTGCTGACTGTCACTTATATCTCTACAAATGATAGCCTAAACTTAAAAAAATGAATGTTTTTGTTTCCTTGCTGATAGAAGAAAGTCGAGCCCGACCGATAAAGGATTTTGAAGGTCGATACCGATACAAATATTTTTTGGTTTTAAAATCCGATATATCAGCAGATGTTTTTTTTGTTTGTTTGTTTTTTTAAATTCAGAAACGCTCAACAAAACATTAACAGATTTCCCTAACATTAGTTATTTGTAGTTATTTCTGAGTTTTAACCAAAATAATATGAAAAAAGTATCTAAAAGTTTCTTATTATTAAATTACTAGCTTTATGGTTAGCTATAGTCTATTATGAACCATAATTTAGCAATGGATTACGTCATACTGCAAATTGTAAAACATACATTTTTAACATAACTGGCCAAGGAAACTTCCGCCGACCACAAATTTTGTCATGCTTATTTGAGTTAAGATGGGGATGTTCTTTTAATTGTTATTCAAGCAATGTATGTATCGTGACCAACTCTACGAGTGTTGCCAACAGGGACGGTGTAGAGTGCCCTCTGGTGGACAAACTATACAACTCCAACACTCATGACATGGTTCAAGCGTGTTTCGTCCATTTTTATTTTATTTTTGAAATATTCATTTATCGGCCATTATAACTGCCGATACCGATAGTTTGGAAAATGCCTAATATCGGTCTGGCTCTAGAAGAAAGAAAAAGAAAGTAAATAAAAAAAAAATTGTTAGGAGACGTCTGTAATGTTTCGGCCGAGAGTGATGCAGAATCACACCCATAAACTCACACACACACACACACACCTGTACAATTTCGAGCATTTCCGCCTTGCTTATGTATCCATTGCCATCCAAATCGTACATACTGAAGGCCCACTTTAGCTTCTGATCCAAACGGCCGCGTGACGTGACGCTCAGGGCAATGATAAACTCTCTGAAATCTATTGTTCCGTCTCCGTTGGCGTCGAAGGTTCTGAAGACGTGCTCCGCAAACTTTGACGCGTCTCCGTAGGGGAAAAAGTTGCCGTAGATCTTCTTAAATTCGTCCATGCTGAGCGCACCGCTGGGGCAGTCCCGCAGGAAGCCCTTGTACCACTCCTGGATCTCATGCTCGGTGAAGTCTGTGTTATCCAGCAGCTCCTGAATCACCTCGGGACGGAGTTTGCTGTTCTGTTTTCCCATGTTGATGGTCTGGTTTCAACTAAAGGAGAAAAAAAAAGAGAATAACTGTTTTTTAAATGTCTAACAGTACTGTAAGTTAAGTAAACTTAACTCAGCCTTGGCAAATAGGAACCTTTGTGAAAAAGAAACATACTACACCTAATTGCATGTTAATATGAAAATGAATACTAATATTTATATTAAATGCAATAAGCCTCCTGGTTAGAAGCTCTGATCTCTATGGAATAAAATACTATCTTTTTATCTCGGTTGGTTCTTTCTCCAAGACATTAGTGGAATTATTAAATTCTTTTTAATAGACTTTTTCTTACGTGAGCAGTATCTCAGATTTGTATCATTAGAAACCCCCTCACATGAAGAGATCTCGATCTGTGCTCAGATTTGCCTAGATACCAAAGCGATCTCAATATGTACTCAAACTTTTCTCATCAAATTTTTTCCAGATCACTGATCTGACTTTCTATTCGCATACATTCTATAGCTCAACAATTTTCTCATACGTGTCTATTCCTCCTTTTTTAGAGACAAATATAAGATTCTCTGTTTTAGTCTCATGAGCTCTGCAATAAACATACACAGCAGAAAACAGCAATGTTGCATTGCCTAAACCCTGACGGTACGAGCCCCTATTTATAATTGTAGCCTACTAGTATGTATGCAAAACACACATATCCTCCACATATCGAAAATGTCTCTTCCTTTTCCCATCTGTCAACTGAACTTTCCGCTGGTAGACCGCAGTGCATGCTTTCACCGGCTGCAGTGTGTGTCTATGTGTGCGTGCAGCTGCACCAAAATCATTTCCTGATGCAAATCTGTCTTTAAAACCCACGTGCCTGCCATATGATCTCGAGAGATCATACATACTAGGGTAATTCTGATGTGAAATCATTGCTTTTTCCTAGTTCATTTTAATACACTGCAAACATCCTAATGATGTATCTGTATTAACAATGCATTAGGCTAAGTAATCCCAATTAAAGTTATTTTTATATACATAATATTTATGTCAGGCACACAAATGGCATGTACAACGACTCTTTATTCTCATTCATGCCCACTGAGATGAGTGGATGGAGGATGATGGGGACAAAAAATAACATAAGATCGAGAAACGAAACTCCTCTTGTAAACAGGAAGCAGTCCATCAGTTTGCCTTTCACTGTTCCTCACGTAGCGCATGTGACCGTCCTGCTATATATAGTGTCTTTATATCTTTTATTTAACAAAATGATGTGAAAAAAGTGAGAGGATAATTACAAATAATTTTTTAACTTTAGTGCGCATTTATCTGTCCCACATCTCTTTTTCTCTCGTTCACAGTATGTGCTTGTGGGAAACTGTCTGTCATAAATGGTGAAATATCTTTGAAGTTGAAATTAATTAGTCAAATGAATGTCAAGAAATAGTTACCAGTCAGAAAGTTTTCTTTTAAGTTTTGGTCATTTCTGTTAAATAAATATATTATATTAGCATAATAATCATTTAGCTTGGCTTGTTCAATTGTGTGGTTTAAGATATTTTTTTGTTGTTGAAGAAATGCTTTCTATTCAGGAAAAAAATACTGAATGGATCAAAAGTGACCGTAAATACATTCATAATGTTACAAAACATTTCTATTTTAAATAAATGCTTTTCTTTTGAACTTTTGAAGTCGCTCCCATTCCGGTCGACCACCATGGGACCTGAAGACTGGAGAAATGCCATCACAGGAATAAATTACATTTTAAGATATATATTAAAATAGAAAACAGTTATATTTTAAATTGTAATAATTAGGGTTGGGTATCTAGAATCGAGTATCGATTGGAACCGGGACTAACTTTTCGTTTTTCCCGGAATCGTTCAAAAGTTAAAATTTCGATTCCTAGTTTCGATATTCACAGTCCGCCGAGCGGAAGAAGTAACCGCTGAACAACACCAACGAAGAAGCGTCTACCGGAAGTGTTGGCATAACCACGCGAGTCGAACATGAGTAGCTTACGTCGGCGGTCCAAAGTGTGGCTTCACTTTTCTAAAAATAACGAAATCTCGGCAAAATGCAAAATTTGTGACAAAAGGAGTATTTCCTTCCGAAAGACCATTGGTTAGCAAGGTTAGCTAAACTTTTTTGACCCTGCTTCTTAAAAGAATCGGAATCGAGAATCGTTAGGAACCGGAATCGAAACAAGGAATCGGAATCGGAATCAGAATCGTTCAAATTCAAACGATACCCAACCCTAGTAATAATATTTTACAGGGTTTTGATCAAATGCAGCCTTATTGAACATAAAAAAAATCTTACTGACCCCAAACTTTTAAATGGTCATTTTAACTTTGAATTATGTGCCCATGGAAACCTAGAGGAAAATAGCATTGCGTTGTCAAAGGTTTTTCAGGTTTATTTTTTGCTTACACATGACTGCACCATTAGACCATTTATAAACTGTTTTCTGAACAATTTCTGTATTCTCCCATGATCTTGAAAGGCCTGACCAAACCGAACGCTCCATCCTTCCTTATACCTCTCTCTACAAACCGCAGCCTTCAACCACACGCTCTTAATACCTCCACCCATGCACTCTGAGCACACAAAGCACAACAGACCCATTTGTTCTCAACAGACTTTCTGTAGATGGAGCAGATGGATAAAAGCATTGTGATCAATCAAAGTGTAATTGCTTAATGGATATGCGGCATTTATATTACATTCCACCCGTTGTCATGGTAACACAGACAGTCTAATCTTACAACATTCAGCTTTGTATCTAACATGTTTCAGTATTCAACAGTATTTTTGGATAATCTAACTACAGAGAATACTAGATTCTTTGAAACATATTAAGAGTCCGGTATCTTTTGGCCTTTTCGATCATTGATGACATCACTTCTGATCCCTCCTCAGGACGAGCCATGTTCTTGAACCTGAGCTTAGCCCGTGTGGCTCATGGGATCACTGATGTTCTTGGACAACAGCTCAAAGATCTCTTTCTCAAATTAACTCTAAGACTCTTAGAGCCTCCAATAGCACTTCGGTGACGTCACACTTGCATAACCCAGGCCCACAGACAGCTTGGCCATGTGGTGCTACAGGTGGACACAAGGTACAGATGTCCCTTCAGTACGCTGAGGACAGGCGACTTTACTCAAGAACAAATCACACCCACCAAACTATATATATATATATGAAGAGTTCATATGCAAAAGCCTCTAAATGCCATTTGAAATTTTCTTCTTGAATGATGATTTTTATCAAACTTTTATATTTAAGTTCAGTAATTTCACTTAAATAACAATTAATTGGTAATTATCATTGCCATTTTTAGTGAAATCACTGAACTTAAATATACAAGCTTGATAAAAATGATCAAAAAATTTCAAATGGCACTTAGAGGCTTTTGCATCTGAACTCTTCATATACAGTAGTTTATATACATAAATATAGCCTAGCTATATAAATAATGTGTACTAAAACTTAAAATCAAATTAAAGAGAATATAAATATTTGATTTAAAAAAAAACTTAAAAAATAAATAAATGTTGCATTGGCATCTAACTGAAATACATTTCAATTTAAGTATGAAACTTGAAATAAAAATACAGAAAAATTAAAGTAGAAAAAAATGACGAAAACAAAATGATTCAAACTGAAATAATATTAAAATGATGACAGTTTGCCAATGGGATAAAACTTATTTCATGTACATACTGTACAGGCTCACACATTTTACAGAACATATCCTAGTTTTAAATAAATACTTTTAACGATATTTAGATATAAGACAAAAAGTACTGATTCACTAATTAATTCATTCAAAGGGCAGTGATGTGCGTGTGTGAATCAATAAAATAAAAAGTGAATGAAAGAAAGAACTCATGCAGAGCCATTAATTAAACTATTTTCCTTCTCATCTTTGATTCAATGAGTTTGATGCATCGCCAGAGAACACTTTCAAACCAAACTAATGATTTGTGACATCCTTACAAAAGCAGGAGCCATCATAGAGATAGAAAATAATATTCTCTCAACAAAATGACAGAACAAGACACAGGAAGGTGAGAGTTTGCTCTTTCTCTTCCACTCCTCAAAACCACAGAGACCGAATGAAGCACCACAAGCACCGAAACTGAAGTATGACTGTGGAAAATGTCAGCGCTGTATTCATCTTTGTGAGGGGGCTATGAAATGAATGCATCAATACTCTCATAGTTTCCTTGTTCTTTCCCATGCCCACCAAAATAAACCACTGTGTTAACGGTGCAAGAAAGTACAGCATGAGTTATCATGGGTATATACATCTAGTGACATTAGTCAATGTTTAAATTTCCTTCACATATCAGAAGTCATCTACAGTGCTGCATTTACAGGACTACTCCCTTAAAAATCCTGGGTTATTTCAACCCAAATTTGGATCAAATATGGACTAACCCAAATGTTGGGTTAAAAATGTAATTAAAAAAATTACAGTTGAAAGTTGAAGATTTTAAATGACATTTTTATCCCAGCATTTGGGTTAGTCCATATTTGACCCATATCTGGGTTAAAACAACCCTGCATTGTTTAGAGTGTAGGTTCAGTGAATGCTCAAATTAAAATCATTGGGAAACATCAAGTGAGCATTAACAATGAAAATGTATCAGGATCAATTTGTATTTAATTCACGGTTCTCATCTCTGACATATACTGTATACAGCTATTCATGTCATGCCAAACCCGTGCAAGACTGTTGGTTTCTGTGGCTCACTGCTGGCAGCTGTTTACCTCAATCTGCACTTTACATCTGTGCAACGCTCTCACCAAATTCATGCCACATCAATTTCAAATGTTTAAAAGTTTCAATTTGTCTCATTTAGTTTTCTCATGTTAGGATATGTGTTACAGATTTCAAAATGTAAACTTAAGAATAAATTTGATAATAATTCTCACAATTTGTTTTTGTTTTGTGGTCGTGGTCGTGTATATGCATTTTTCGGTAACGCTTCCTTTTACAGTCCAGTTACCCATGTAAATACTATGTACTTATTTTAGTAACTACAATT